AAAAAGAGAGTTTCTGCTATTCAACTAAATTGTCTTTGCAATAATGAAATGTATAAAGGAATTTAGAAGCAAGTGACTGGTGGATACAAACAACAACAATGCTATATATATCCATGACTCTTAACATTCAAAACCCTTGTTATTCAGAGATCGGAGAAAGGCAGACAGCAAAGGCTAAAATAGAATGGGAAGCTGACTGATCTCACCACTTTTTTTATAGACTTGAATTTAAGAAAGTGCTAATGGATGACAGCAGCAGGTTGATGTCCCATGCCTTCTTCTCTTATGGTTTAATATAGTGCAGGCAGTAAATGGAAGATAAACAGGGAACAGAGAGCTTGTGCCTATTCTTTGGAAGAAGATGCCTTTCAATTTAAGATTCGAGATTTTGAGATGTGATTAGAAGGTTTTCTAGACAGTTCTGAAGTAAAATCATGAAGCTGTAGGAGGAATACATTTATCTAGTATCATTCATCCTTGTTAGCAACCCAAATGATTAAAGGTTTGGGAAATTGCCCCTATAAATATGGTCTAAAGGAACTGGGTTTATTTAGCTTAGAGAGAAAGCAAGCACGCTGAGGGGGACTTAATAATAGTCTCCAAGAATATGAGGGATGTTCTCTGAGTGATGGAAAGCAGCTGTTTCCTGTTTCCACTAAGGACTGGATAAGAATGGAGTTCAATTGCAGCAAGTGGGTTTAAGAACTCTTTGACCATAAAGTAAGACAACAAACCCACAAGACCCATCACTTCTCTGTTTCAGAATTTTGTACGTAGGTAACTGTCTTTCTTAGGTGGTTTATATATGGCCTGTTTTTGAAACTTGGACTAGTAAAAAGATCTGTAGGACCTTTGACCATGGGAGAATATGCAGTTGTCCACAATCTGAGCCAACCAGTGCTCTGTGGTTGAGAAAACCCTTATCTCTAAATCTTCTAGTGATATTAAAAAGAGAAAAAGCCTCAGAGTCTCTTTGCTCCCTTTGGTCCCTTTTTAAAGCAAGATAATCTAAATTTACTCCTTCCCTATGAGGCAAAGAATTTTCATAGATTAATCAGTATGCATTTTTTTCTGTCCATTTGGTCAATATGGTCGTGATTCTTTAAAAAATTCTGTGACGACAGTAAGACTGACTGTGTGTGTGTCTGTGTGTGTGAGATAGCCACGTACTATATGATGTATATCATATATAATTAATGCAACAGTGAAAGCAATGTTGTGTTCTAGGTAGTGTGTCTAAGTGTTAGCTATATGAAAACTAGTAAGATGTACACTGTGCTGATTAGGAGCACAGCAAATATGTAATAATGTATCATTATTGGAGATCAGCTAGGGGAAGTATTTAAAGACACAAGAATGAGTTCTGGGTATATCATTAAGTTTTAGCCAATGAGGCAGATGGAAATGCCTGAAAACTTCTTATTAACCATTATTTTTACCATTTATTCCGAATTGGATAAGTGTGTCTTATTTGCCCAACTGGGAGTTAGGAGTATTTTCAAGGTAAGATTTGGTTCCCACAGGATTGACTGCTGTTAAGCAGTACCTTTAAAGTATAACTTTATGTCAGCATTAACTGTGTATACATACGACCATCTTCTACCGGCATTTATTATAATCTTATGTAAAAATCTTTGCCTCTGTAACTGAAGGTTTTCTGCTATCTGGGAAGGAATAAGAGTTGAATCATGATCCAATTCTGACTCCCAGAACTTCTTAGGCCTTCAGAACTTTGGCCGTGAAGTGGGAGGTGACTTGGGATTGCTTTGTACGCTCTTTCCACGCTTCTTCACTGAGGCACTGGGCGAGTTACTTCACCTTCTAGATTCTGCTTCTTTAATCTACCTCACAGGAATATTTTGAGTTGAATGAAATAATATGCTCCAAGTCCAGAGCCCAGTGTGCCCAGCCCTTAAGTCATGTTTATTTGCTTCCTTTAATTCAGAAATAGCATCACTTTCCTATGGTAAGATCATGATTACCTCTGGATTCTCTTCATGTAGTGGGGCTTATTGGACCATAGGGCCAGGTCTGTAGAGCAGGGTTTGTCTAAAATTCATGAGGGCACTCTGGAGTCCAATGGAATGAACCTCATTCCTTTTTCATACTTACTTAACCCAGAAAAAAAAAAAGTCTACTATAATGCCAATTATTTCAGGAAGCATTTGTTGCCAAATTACCTGACACAAATGCTGTACACATATGGAAGCACATTTTAAAATCAGTGGGAAGATTATGGACTCTTGTTTTACAA